GCTCTGGTGCCCATGTGCCGAAAAGGGGTAGAGGCAGGCAGGGAGAGGTGTGACTGAGGCTAGGTGTAGAGGGAAGGCTTCTTCCAGAAGACGCTTTTCCAGGAGATCTGAAAAAACTTCCGAAAGAGAGCGTCTACACAGCCTATGTGCATTGGAAAAGGGATCTGCTTTTTCGACAGCATCCAGACAGAATGGACGCCCTTTTGCACATCAGCTGTGACTGCTACGGGTGGAGCGGCCACCAGGGCATCTGTGCTTTTTCCTCTCCCCTCTTCTTGCGAAAGAACTCCCTCTTCCCCGTCCACACACGCCTCTTTCCCGAAGGGCTCTTTTGGAAAAAGGCTTCTTCCTCGTAGAGTGAGGTTTACCAATGTTGGAAACCCCCCCCTCCCCCCTTTGGGCTTTCGATTTTTTTCTCAAAAGAAGGCGATTGCAGTGTGGACAGAAGTGACGGTTTTTCGGAAAAACAGCCGTTTTCCAAAAAAACCCCCACGGTGTAGACATAGCCTGAGAGGGGGCTCTGGGCACCACCCTGGCCAGAGCCCCTGTCTCCTTGGGAGGGGCCCCCACAGCCGCGGTTGAGCAGGGATATTGCTGGGGGGAGGGAGGGGTCTGTGACATGTGACTTGCGGGAAGTCAGGCGAGAGAAGATCAGCAGAGTCTGTTTTCCACGCCGGGCTCTGCCGACCCCCCCGCTCACTGGAACGTGGCCTTCCCAGGCCCGGGCTGTTTCCAAGGGAATGGGCGAGCGGCCCAGACTCCTTCCCGCCCCCTGCGGTTGAGCAGGGATATTGCTGGGGGGAGGGAGGGGTCTGTGACATGTGACTTGCGGGAAGTCAGGCGAGAGAAGATCAGCAGAGTCTGTTTTCCACGCCGGGCTCTGCCGACCCCCCCGCTCACTGGAACGTGGCCTTCCCAGGCCCGGGCTGTTTCCAAGGGAATGGGCGAGCGGCCCAGACTCCTTCCCGCCCCCTCACAACATGGAAAGCTCTGCTGGGCGAGGGCTGGAAGCGCAGAGCTCAGGGGCCTGGAAAAGGGGAAGCAGTGGGGGCGGGGGGCACTGCCAAGCCTGGGAGAAAACACAAAGTCTCCAAGCAGGAACAGGATTCACTGGGCCCCTGGCCGCTGTTTGCAGTCAGAGCGGAGGAGGTTCCGTGGGGCAGAAATCCTCGGTGGCAGGGCGAGCGCTGGCTGAGGTGTCCGCGTGTCCGGGGAAGGGGCAGGGC